CTGTGGGAAGGGGCACAGAGCCAGGGACAGCACCCAGCACGTCCAGCACCACTTTCCTCTACAGCTACCCACCTCACGAGATTCCCCAGAGTTCACCTCCTGGAGCAACGACAGTTGGGAAAGCAGCACTTGGTTAAAGTACAGCAGGAAGAGAGCTCAAAAAGAAGAGCACACGGGAGGTTAATAGAGGAAATCAGTTTCAAGGAGAGTCTGTGTCAGAGAGAAGAAACTGCCGCAGCTCCTGCCCCTCACTGGAGTTACAGCCCATTCAGCTTTATGTCTTCTTCTTTAGCTCCTCAAATCTCCGAGAAAGATCATCAAAGTCAATGTCTTCAGAGGCAGAGGAGTTGGCGCCAGCAGATGCTGTTGGCAGCGTATCCGGCACGGATGGCAACTCAGGCAGCACGAAGTTATCGACGGGAGTGGGAGCTCCAGCTCTTGGTTTAGGTTCTGGCTTGGGCCCAGGCCCTATTCGTAGAGAAATATTTCACTTCATCATCATCATCACCCTCTCACCACTCCAAACAGAGCCCCACGGAAGCAGGACTCTTCTACCAAAAAAGGCAGAGTCAAGATGTTTTTCTGAACAGGACCAGTGGCCGTGCACCTCCAGCTCCACGTAGACTCAATGGGGAAGACCACAACAACTGGGGTTTACACGACTGCAAGGGGCTGCAGCCAGGGCAGATCCGGCGTGGCCATCCTACCCGGTGCCTGCATGGGCAGCTGCAGGTGGCCTCAGCTCCCACAGGCCTCCAACAGCACCACGGGATGCAATGTCCGAGTTTTCTCCATTCCAGCACCTCCCAAAGACACAAGCTGAAGCACACACCCACGGCCCATTTCCTCAGCACACACCACCAACACTGCCCAGAGCACCCCATGAGGTCCTCAGAAACCCTTGCTGGGGCTGGCAAGGGTCTACTTACTGTAAAACCCCTCTCTGCCCTTACCAAGAGCTAGAGACAGAAGTGCCTTCAGAACACGCAGAGCAGAATCACGCCTCATAAGGCTGAAGAATTTTTGTATGATCCAGTTATGATGCAGGAGCTTCTCTGAAGCCTTCAGGCAGACAGGCCAGGAGGTAACCGCTGCCTCACTCTGCTGTATAAACCCTCAGCACTGACTTTAATACAAACCTAGCTACGCTCTTGGTGCTTGCTTCTTTCATTCTGTTGCTGCAGAATAATATTATTTACACCATGCAGAAATAAATTATCATGTAGAACTAGTGCTTTCTCACTTCATCCTGCAACAGCCTGTACTTGGTGTGATGAGACAACTTAAGCTGGAGGCCCAGTCCCGACGTCAAAGACAGACTCTAGTTCCCAAGTTTCCCAGTGGAAGCCTGGATCCTCCTTGTTTTGAGAGGATACTCTCCACTTCTGTCGGTCCTCTCCAAACTCAGATCCTGCTCCCAAGAGGTGCCAAGTTCTACACATCAACTCCTGTTTGGAAAGCTCCCTCCCAGTGCGAAATAGGATCCCAAGCTAACCGCAGCCCCCAACCACCCTGTTTCCCGTTCCTCCCGCCACACTCACCAGCCGCCGGCACAGGAGCATCCTGGTCAGCACTAGGTTCATCGATCTGAAAAAGACGGTCAGTTACTACAGCTCGTTTTCCCATCAGGTGCAGTCAACAGGGGTGTGTAGATGTTGCTCATAGGCAACAGCAGCTGCACCCACGCCTACGGAGCCATGCGCACCCCAGCCTGCCCCACGGCGGCGGGCACCCCGGCTCCCAGCACACTCGGAACAATCTGCCTCTCCTCCCAAGAAAAGGAGACAGGGCTGCGACTCTGCCTCTGCCAAAGCAGCTTCACTGGACAAGCATGCGCACCAGCAGGCCTGAAATACCTACCAGAGACACAAGTGGGAGAAGATCGCCCTCTTCACCCACGCAGTCACCCACACCGCTTCCTTTCTCTCACAAACAAGAGAGGTACCTGTAACCAGCAGCGAGGTGCAAACAGCCCCAGCCCAGGCCTCCGTCTGGTTGGGACAAAGGCCCCGGGTGCGGTCAGCTGTGCTGCCGTAACCCCTGTCCCCTGTGGGCTACAGTCGGTGTCACCGATCCCCAGCCAGCCAACAACTGCTGCAGCTGCACCTCCTCGGCCTTGTACAAGGTGCCAGCACACCCAGCTGCTTGGCCACGCTCAGGGCACCACAAAAACTGAGCAGCGTGCCACCGAGAGCAAAACGGGAGGCGGGCCACAAACTAGAGCAACAGAAACAGGCAAGCACAGAAAGACAGGCTCTCCTTCGTCATCCCCAAGCACTGAGAGAGGTCTGGGAAGTGTTCAAACGTGCATCATCTGGGTCAGCCAGAACTGCCATCCAGGCTAACTACGAATCAGTACAAAAGCCATAATTAAACAGACTGAAGTGGATAAACCCTTCAGGGTGCAAAATCCAGAATTCCTGGACCCTACTTGTTAACTGTTTATCACTCTTATAACAATGCAGGAAAATAAATCTTAGGTTTCTTCTGGAGCCAAACCTCACAGCTCCTTGAGGAACTTCTCCTCACAAGTCCCATCAGCCACGCTCAGCGATTCACCACACCCACAGGCAACGCAAAGCACCGCCCCAAAAGCTCCAAAGGTTCCCAGGAATACACCTAGTGAACACTGCCTTTTCTGCAGCTACCACTGCCCTCTTTTTGAGGTTCCCTCTGCCACTCCCAAGGGTGGTTCAGCGCAGGCACTTACAGACTCGTATGTGGGTGGGGTTGCTGGAATCGAGGGCGGGTGGATGTTAGCGAAAGGCTGGTAGGTCCCGGTTGGCAGGCCATTGAAGTTCTCCTGCACAGAGAGATTCCAGTCATGCACCACACTGGTCACCTGGGACAGCACCCATGGGACACGAGACACCGTGGGAGCCAGAGACAGCACAGTCCAACACAAAGGCAGGCAGGTACCCAACTTGATATAGTTAATACCGGAGAATCTTTTCCTAGCCAATATAAAGTCAGATGCAGTGACCTAGAGCAACCAGACCCAGCTAGCAGGACTGTGGGCTGTTCTGAAGGACCAGCGTGGCTACACACTTCATCTTTCGAGGCATGAGAAGCACCAGGAGAAAGAGGGCAACACCCTGCGTTAAGCACACCCGGGCCAGCCCTCCTGAGTGCAGTATCACAAACCAGGAATGAGGTCTCTGGTTCACTCGAGGCTTTGTGTTACCCATTCGTAACACAACACTGCCTCCAAGATGGGAACTTGGCACAAGTCCCCAGCATATTTACGGCTGGGCCTCCAGCCAGCCGATGACGTTTGGCCCAGATTTTCCACAAAGCACATCACAGCCCTGCTGGGACCGTACCAAGGCTCCAGATCACCCCGCTGCTCTGCCCCTCTTCACCTGATACAGGTATTGTGTCCACAACTGAACTCGGACAATGGTGCCCTTCTCCGCCCCCACCCTTGCAAAAAATGATGTCAAAGAGCCCCTGGCCTGGTGCTCTTCCCTTGCAGGGTGCTTCTGCATTTTTCTGTGCTGCTCTCACTTCAAAACTCAGCTAACTTCCTTGAGTGAATCTTGGCACACTGCCAGCCTAGCAACTACCAGCCCCTGGACAAAAGCCCGGCAGCCAGAAAACTGCCTCAGGAGTTAAGTCTGGACTCCTCTGTGCCCTGAAGTCAGAGGGCTGGCTGGAGAAAGGGGTAGGAACCTCCACAGCCATGAAGCTCCAGCTGCACTGCCAACAATTTCCATCCCATGCAGTCTCACACCAACCTGACAGCCTCCTGAGACATCGGGCTACCAGATACAGACACTCCCCAGGCACAGGGTGAAGCACCACAGCTGGAATCTTCCAGAGAAAAGGGAACACTCACAGCAACGGCACTTACCGGCCCCTTTGGAGGAGGGTAGGCGAAGGGAGGATTTGGTGTTGGCATAGGCATAGGCATCATCACCGGCATGGGTACCAGTCCGTCGTGACCAAGCAGCGGGGCTGTAAATCCACCTCCTCCCCCTCCAGGGCCGCCCTTCTTCACATCATCTGTGAACCCCACGTCAATGAGATCTGCCTCTCCAACTGCAGGGGCTTCAGCCTAGGGAGGGTGGAAGAGTTCTGCCGTGTGCTGACCACAGCCCTCTGAACAGCACCAGACGCAGCATTTGTCACTGGACAACACGGGGCAACACAAGCAGGACAGAACAGACGGTAGCTACACAGGGAGACTGACGGGAACCAGAAAGGGAACCAGACTATAGCACAGTTAACACAGGACGAAGAGGACACTTCAGCCACCGCAACACCGAAGGGAGCCCCAGACCTGAAGGTACCTCACTCACCATCACCACAGAGTCAGGCTCATAGGGCACATTGTAGTTCTTGGCAATCTCGATGAGGTATCTCTCCACCAGAATCTTGGGTGGTGCCTCCACGCTCAGCTTGTGCATCAGCTGGAACAGAAGGGCGCACAGGCACTGCGTGGGGCTGGGGCAGCACAGCGCGGCAGGAGCACGGCCC